ATGAAATTAGCAAAAGAGGAGATAAAATTGTTTAAAGGAAAATCGATTTGAGGTAGGTATTGTCAAAAGGCATAAGTAGAGAAAGAAAAGGAAATTAACATGACTCCTATTTTTTTGTGTCACCATAATAAACTCTATAAATAGACACATCTCTTTCTATTCTCTTCTAAGTTCTAATCACCCAAAACCAAATTATCAAATCTCTCTTACTGATCATTCATCAAATCAGCTAAAGCAAACATGTTGGTTTACCAGGATCTTCTTACAGGTACATAACACGATATGTTTCTAGTTAATTAGTTTGTGTTGATCAATAAGTTACTATAATCACGTTACATATTGATTTTGTATGTATTATTTGTCACAAACAGGCGATGAGCTTCTGTCTGATTCCTTTCCTTACAAGGAAATCGAAAACGGCATGTTATGGGAAGTTGAAGGAAAGGTATACTTGTCTATTCGGTTCAATCAATACTTTAGTTGAGTTTGAGATTAAATTTGATATATAGATATATGGTTACTAATGTAACTCTTTTTGTTTCATCAGTGGGTTGTGAAAGGAGCGATGGATATCAACATTGGTGCGAATCCATCAGCAGAAGAAGGCGGAGAAGACGAAGGAGTCGATGATCAAGCAGTGAAAGTTGTCGATATCATCGATACTTTTAGGCTTCAGGAACAACCACCTTTTGACAAGAAACAGTTTCTCACGTTCATGAAGAAATACGTAAAGCAACTACACCCTAAGCTTGACTCTGAAAAACAAGAGCTTTTCAAGAAACATATTCAGAGTGCTACAATGTTTTTGAAGTCAAAGCTCGAAGACTTGCAATTCTTTGTGGGAGAGAGCATGGGGGATGAAGGGAGCTTAGTGTTTGCTTACTACAAAGAAGGAGCCACTGATCCAACCTTTCTCTACTTAGCCTACGGTTTGAAGGAGATCAAGTGCTAAAATATTTAATTTCTCTCTTTTTATTTTTTGAGGTGTTTTTACTTGTTTTTTATGTCGTTCGATGAATGAATATTGAGAGATTTTTTTTGTTTTACTATTTTAGAGTTAATTTTCCAACTTTTGATGCAAATTCTTAAGCGTTACAACGGAGATATCTACATTGACAATAAGAAAACTTGACAGAAATTGCTTAAACTCTAGCCAAAGTAATTCCATATTGAAGCAGAGTGAAATATATAACTAGTAGATATTAAATTCCAATTTTCTTCAGTGGACAAAGGGCAATGAACACAATACAAAAGTATTTATGATTCGAAAGTTTTAGAAGATCCAAATCGGAATGTTGTTGATGAAAGTAAAAAACTAGTCGAAATAGAAAACGATGCGAGAGATTAGGCGTAGTAGTTGAGGCTTGCTTTCTTCTTGGCCTGGACTTGGATGATACCTTCATTAAAGTCCTCATGGTTCACCTGAACAACAACAGAAAAACCCAATGCTTTTAAAAACCAGACCAAACTCTAATCGTAAAGCCGAAAAAAAGAGTTGTTGTGTATCTTTGTCTTACTTCTGTGGCATCGCGGCGAAGAGCTAACATGCCTGCCTCTACACACACTGCTTTCAGCTGAGCTCCGTTGAAATCATCCGTCGATCTTGCAAGCTCCTCAAAGTTGACGTCTGGGTGGACATTCATCTTCCTCGAGTGAATCTGGATTCATTCAGTTTGGGTTAGTCACGAATCGTGTGAGCTTTTTAGTTATCAAGGGTGGGTCATGTTTGAATAATTGGGAGAAACAAAAACCTGTAAGATTCTGGCTCTTGCTTCTTCTGTTGGATGTGGGAACTCGATCTTTCTGTCTAAACGACCAGAACGCATGAGCGCTGGGTCCAGAATATCTGCACGGTTAGTCGCTGCAATCACCTGAAAAAAAATTGAGAGGTTTATTTGTGGGACAATGTATAGATGATGAGTATGACTGGCGCCTAGAATTAGATAGACTCTTACCTTAATACGTTCATCGCTACTAAATCCGTCAAGCTGATTGAGTAACTCCAACATAGTTCTCTGTACTTCCCTGTCTCCGCTTACTTCACTGCACTCTCAGCCAAAGAAGGTTTAATTTAATACTGAGCTATTGAGGAAGTGCAAATATAGACGAACAGAAACAGTAAAAGTTTTATATACCTGTCGAAACGCTTTGTACCAATTGCATCGATTTCATCTATGAAGATGATGCATGGAGCTTTCTCTTTTGCAAGTTGAAAGGCATCACGAACAAGTTTTGCTCCGTCTCCAATGAACATCTGTATACATCCAGATATATGTCACAAAGTCATTACAAGTGAGACTAACGTACTGATAATCAGGCTAAGATCTTTTGTCCAGATAGGGCAACAACTGTTATGCAAATGCATCACTACAGCTTCCCGAATGAATTGATCGACACACTAAGATCGTTTATCCATATAGGGTAATGAATTTTGCTTCAAATGAGACTTGAATGTAGCACTCAAATATACCTGGACTAGTTGAGGACCTGCCAATTTGAGGAAGGTGGCATTGGTCTGTGCTGCACAGGCACGAGCCATTAAAGTTTTACCAGTCCCTGGAGGACCATACAAGAGCACTCCTTTCGGTGGACGAACACCAAGCTTGTCAAAACGCTCCTTATGGGTCATAGGGAGAACAATTGCCTCAACAAGCTCTTGTATCTGGTTCGGAAACATACTCAATCAGATTCCGCAACACGTAGAAGTAAAGTCAATACGCCAAAATAAACACAATGGAATAAAACTAACCTGCTTCTCCAGTCCTCCTATGTCATTGTAATCCTCAGTTGGTTTTTCATCAACCTCCATGGCTTTAACTCTAGAGTCGTACTCTGATGGCAAGGTATCCAAAATCAAGTAGCTATCTTTATTAACTCCAACCAAGTCACCAGGTTTCAAACTATCAGGATCCACGAGTCCAACAACTGGTAGAAAGATGGTCTGCACTCCACATCAAGAAGCAAAAAGGTTTTATCATCTCAGACATGAAACGAGGAAAAGAAGAACAGCACAAAACATATCAGGGAAGTCTCACCTGTCGTGTAGATGTTTTCAACACAACACATTTTCCCTTGCGTTGCGAGTCAAGATCGATATTCGCACCGTCTTCCTCAGCATCATCTTCTGGATTCATCTCCAAGATCTAATACCATATCAATCATAACAATTATATTCCAAATTCCAAAGCAAAAAACTAAAACATTTACAGGAACATCAAATACCTCTACAATGTTGCCAACCAAGTAAGGAAGCTGCTTGTTGAGTTTAATCTTCTCCTGATTCTCCTTTATCTTCTCCTTGTAAGAATCACATTCTAGATTTGTTCTTTGTGCATCTTCCTATATTATTACCCCATAAAAGAAAACACACAAAAATCAATCAGAAACTGAAACCAGATTCAAATCAGAAACCCAATTTCGAGAAGAAACCAAACTCAAACCCTAAAACCCCAAATCGCGACAGAGCAATTCCAGATTCTAGCAAAACCATACTCGAATTGAAAGCAAATCGGTGAACCTAAGAAGCTAATCGCGTAGTTTCTACGAATCGAGAGTGAGATTGGGACAAACCTTGAGAATACGAATCTCGTTATCGAGGAGACGAGTAGCTCTGGTGATGTCTTCGGTGGACATAGAAGCGAGCTGATCCTCTTCGAAGCTTGAGGTGTCTTCAACCATCGGAGTCGCCATTTCGATGGAACAAATCGGAGATAGAGATGGAGAGAGAGATCGCCGGAGATTTGCTTAGGGGTTTTCTTTAGCAGAAGAAGAGCGACTATGAG